ATGTGGAGTGAGTGTATGTTTAGGGATTTAAACAGAAGGGCTGTGTTATCTGAAGACAGTTCATTATTGTTCTGATAGCAGATTTTTGCTGGGTGATGATGAGGTTGAGGTAATTTGCAGTTACCTTGAGGTTACCTTGCGACGATTTTGTGGCTTAGCGTCCCCGTGTCCCAGTCCTTGACTACCTTCCGGTCCTCGACCACCTCCCGAACCTCGACCACCAAGCAGTACAGTATATAGATGCCACACCTGTGACAGGTAAAACTATGCTTTTCTTGAAAAACAGCGCCATCTGTTGCATGTAAGAGCAACACACATGCTATACTAAATATGTTACAATTCCATTTCAATGTTTCTGATTGCATTGATACATTGAATTTTCATAGATTTTGATTTATTTTCATTTTGAGTTAATTATTTTGTGTGAATTGCGTTGGAATTGAGCCGTGTTGTTTACCAGGCCGTTCATTTCGTGAGTATAGTTTATTTTTTTATGTTTTTCATATTTTCATTTCATTTTTTAACTTTTTCTTATATTTCAGTGATGGGAACATCAGACCATTTGGAAAGGCATTGGACTAGGGAGTGGGGAATGGTGGGGAGGACGAGAGGACAAGGAAGGGGGTAATGGTGGGGAAGGACAAGGGGACCGGGAAGTTTGGGATGGTGGGGATGAGGGAATGGAGAATGGTGGGAGGACAAAGAGACAGGGGAATGGGCATGGTGGGAAGGAAGAGGGGATGGTGGAGTGGGGAATGGTTGGGAAGCCGAGGAGACGGGTGAGGGGGGGAATGGTGGGCAGGACTGGGGAAACAGGGAAGGTTGCTGTGGCTCAGAAACACACATGCGTTGCCGAACCACAGCAAAGCGTGGCCGGGTACTGCTAGTTCAACATAAGTTTTTAAAACGTGCACAAACACTTTCCAATTATTTGTGCATTATCAACTAGGCAAAGCTCCAACTTTGTCAAAAACCCCACATCAAACTAAATTTTTATACCTAATTTACCTAATTCATCTAAATAAACCTACAAAACTATGTTCCAGTTATTACTTACCTTGCTGTCGAGTGCTGTAGGCGTATGGAAGATGGTGAGGAGGGGGGAGGAGGAGAGGAGTTACTGTTTGGAAGGGGAGTCCCCTTCCATAATCACATCACATAACCCCATGCCTTGTAACACTATGGATACCACTTCTCTTTCTAAATTTTTCAAACCAGCCCCTGCTTGCCTTAAACTCTTTCTTATCTGCATCACTCGTTGCAGGGGTATTCTTTAGAAGGTCTTCGTGCAACACCCTGGCTTTCTCACAAATAATGGCCTCCGAAACACTATCACCCCTCAACTCCTTGTCGTGTATCCAAATTAATAACAACTTTTCCACTTCAAGTATTTGTGGTCTTTGTGCCGTTAATGTTCTTACTCCTTTTGCCACTTTAGCACCCATAATCTTATTTTTCTTCTTAAGTATAGTGCATATTGTTGATGTGGCTTTGTTGTACTGCCTACAAATTTCAACAACACGTGTACCGTTCTCATGCTTCCGAATGATCTCTTGTTTCTCCTCTATTGTCATCCTCACATGAGCTTTCTGGCCTTTATCCTTACCACTGGCTTTCTTGGGACCCATGGTGATATATAATAACAAATTGTATAGACAAATCACCAAAAATCCAACAAAACACTGAAAATCCGCGAGAAGAATTGATGTGGGGGTAGTCACTGAGCGCGAGACAATGGTAAACTGAGGGGCGGCGGGGCAGAGGGGCGACGATCGCCGAACCACCACGCGCTAGGTCGGCCTGTACGCGTATCAACAAACTCGCGTCCCGAAGTAACCCTCGCCTTCTGAGACAAATTTTTGGAGTAAATACTGCTCGCCTTCCGAAAACCTCGCATACAGGGACAATCGCATTCCGAGGTACCACTGTACCAAGTTTTGTGAATTGTGACATTTATTTGTTGACCAATTTCATTCTATTTTTACATAGTTGGAAACACCTGGTTCCTAACTATGTTCACCTGGTTCCTAACTATGTTCCACCTGGTTCCTATGTTCCACCTGGTTCCTATGTTCCACCTGGTTCCTAACTATGTTCCACCTGGTTCCTAACTATGTTCCACCTGGTTCCTAACTATGTTCCACCTGGTTCCTAACTATGTTCCACCTGGTTCCTAACTATGTTCCACCTGGTTCCTAACTATGTTCCACCTGGTTCCTAACTATGTTCCACCTGGTTCCTAACTATGTTCCACCTGGTTCCTAACTATGTTCCACATGGTTCCTAACTATGTTCCACATGGTTCCTAACTATGTTCCACATGGTTCCTAACTATGTTCCACATGGTTCCTAACTATGTTCCACATGGTTCCTAACTATGTTCCACATGGTTCCTAACTATGTTCCACATGGTTCCTAACTATGTTCCACATGGTTCCTAACTATGTTCCACATGGTTCCTAACTATGTTCCACATGGTTCCTAACTATGTTCCACATGGTTCCTAACTATGTTCCACATGGTTCCTAACTATGTTCCACATGGTTCCTAACTATGTTCCACATGGTTCCTAACTATGTTCCACATGGTTCCTAACTATGTTCCACATGGTTCCTAACTATGTTCCACATGGTTCCTAACTATGTTCCACATCTATGTTCCACATGGTTCCTAACTATGTTCCACATGGTTCCTAACTATGTTCCACATGGTTCCTAACTATGTTCCACATGGTTCCTAACTATGTTCCACATGGTTCCTAACTATGTTCCACATGGTTCCTAACTATGTTCCACATGGTTCCTAACTATGTTCCACATGGTTCCTAACTATGTTCCACATGGTTCCTAACTATGTTCCACATGGTTCCTAACTATGTTCCACATGGTTCCTAACTATGTTCCACATGGTTCCTAACTATGTTCCACATGGTTCCTAACTATGTTCCACATGGTTCCTAACTATGTTCCACATGGTTCCTAACTATGTTCCACATGGTTCCTAACTATGTTCCACATGGTTCCTAACTATGTTCCACATGGTTCCTAACTATGTTCCACATGGTTCCTAACTATGTTCCACATGGTTCCTAACTATGTTCCACATGGTTCCTAACTATGTTCCACATGGTTCCTAACTATGTTCCACATGGTTCCTAACTATGTTCCACATGGTTCCTAACTATGTTCCACATGGTTCCTAACTATGTTCCACATGGTTCCTAACTATGTTCCACATGGTTCCTAACTATGTTCCACATGGTTCCTAACTATGTTCCACATGGTTCCTAACTATGTTCCACATGGTTCCTAACTATGTTCCACATGGTTCCTAACTATGTTCCACATGGTTCCTAACTATGTTCCACATGGTTCCTAACTATGTTCCACATGGTTCCTAACTATGTTCCACATGGTTCCTAACTATGTTCCACATGGTTCCTAACTATGTTCCACATGGTTCCTAACTATGTTCCACATGGTTCCTAACTATGTTCCACATGGTTCCTAACTATGTTCCACATGGTTCCTAACTATGTTCCACATGGTTCCTAACTATGTTCCACATGGTTCCTAACTATGTTCCACATGGTTCCTAACTATGTTCCACATGGTTCCTAACTATGTTCCACATGGTTCCTAACTATGTTCCACATGGTTCCTAACTATGTTCCACATGGTTCCTAACTATGTTCCACATGGTTCCTAACTATGTTCCACATGGTTCCTAACTATGTTCCACATGGTTCCTAACTATGTTCCACATGGTTCCTAACTATGTTCCACATGGTTCCTAACTATGTTCCACATGGTTCCTAACTATGTTCCACATGGTTCCTAACTATGTTCCACATGGTTCCTAACTATGTTCCACATGGTTCCTAACTATGTTCCACATGGTTCCTAACTATGTTCCACATGGTTCCTAACTATGTTCCACATGGTTCCTAACTATGTTCCACATGGTTCCTAACTATGTTCCACATGGTTCCTAACTATGTTCCACATGGTTCCTAACTATGTTCCACATGGTTCCTAACTATGTTCCACATGGTTCCTAACTATGTTCCACATGGTTCCTAACTATGTTCCACATGGTTCCTAACTATGTTCCACATGGTTCCTAACTATGTTCCACATGGTTCCTAACTATGTTCCACATGGTTCCTAACTATGTTCCACATGGTTCCTAACTATGTTCCACATGGTTCCTAACTATGTTCCCCATGGTTCCTAACTATGTTCCACATGGTTCCTAACATAGTTAGGAACAATGTTAAAAAAAAATTCCTCTAAAATTTTTGGGGGACATTGATGAAAGTAACATATAAAGATATTGTCCAATGTTAATATATGATATATAACAAAATAGAGCATAACAACATAGTTACTCATTATTATTTGTGTTAGTATGTATTACTCAGCAATGATATAAAGGCACCAACTGCATATCCACTTTGTTGACACTTCTTACTATTCTTCTTTGAGCATCGGACAGGTGCTTGCATCTCTTTATTCTGCATTATCCTTCAGTTCCAGGTAATAGGAGCTGTTCTCCTTATCAACACAACGTTCTTATTTTTTAAAAATTCATCTAAAATCAATTTCTGAAAATATTTTGATGAAAGTTTCACAACACTGAAGCCAATAAGTTGGAGATTTTTTTTTACATTATTTTTACATAATTCAAATATTTTTCGCTTTCGGGGGACCCCAATATGCATGGTAATATGCGCAGTTTAAGGGCTAATTAACATACAGTAATGATAACCACACTTTACTGGTTAACAATGTTATAAGAAAAAAGTAATTTGTGGGGAACAATTTTTATTTTACATGCAAGGAACAAAAGACATTGTTTTAACTTGCATTGCTTAGGTGTTAAGGCTTGACTACCCCAGCACCAAGCTTTCCCAAGTGTTGCAAAGCTACTGAAGAGGCCTCCAAGAAATATAGCATGACTGAGGACAAGCAACCTTATTCTATACAAAAGTTACTGACCTGCATTAAGTATGGGAGGATAAGGTACGAAACATCCACTGGCGATGTGATGTATAAACGTCCATCTGATTGGATGGTTTCTCCAATAAACCAAGACCTGAAGATCATGCAATATTCAGATTTGAATAACATTAAATTTGAAACAGAAGAGATTTGAAAGAATAGAATAAGTCTATAGTAATTTTTGTGCGTTTAGAAAAGGAAATATAATCTAGGGTGGACAGCAGCAGAAAAGATGAAAATCATTGAGAAAATAGATTTAGGAGGAGGCATCAATTGAAAGGAAAATGTCAGTGATTTTATGAGGATAGGAAAATATGAGACAAGAATTGCCCCTTAAGGGTGACATTTAATGGATTGAAACAAATGATGGAAGTGCTTAGAAATGCCAGGAAATTGCAGTGTTTAATAGTTGTGTTTTTGCGGGGGTTGAGCTTTGCTCTTTCGGCCCGCCTCTCAACTGTCAATCAACTGTTTACTAACTACCTTTTTTTTTTCCCCACACCACACATGTGGTGTGATGCAGTGATGAGGATGGCAAACTTTGGTCAATAAGACAAGACTTCTCGAAGGAAGACAGAAGCTGAAAATGAACCTCTTAAGCAAAATGTCTAAATGTGAATAGAAATGAAGAAAAATAAATTCCTACAGTGTTAGGGACTGGAAAGTCAATGAAATGGTACATAAAAACAAAGCAACAAAATCACTAGAGGAATGGGAAGTCTTGGACAAAGGGAACGGGAACATGTTCTTGAACCTTGCATATACGAACACATATGGAGAAATATAAACAAATACTGGCATTAAAAGATATAATTCAGCTTAAGGTCCCAGATATTGTTGCACTGACTAACAAAACTTTAAGAAAAAAAATTTAAATGAGGTCGCACTCCCAAGGAGCTACTCAGTTTGGAGATGTAACAGGAAAACTAGGAAGGATAGGAGGGGGGGGGGGAGATGGGGGGATGGAGAGGCTGTGCTGGTGAATGAACACATGAAGATAAAAAAAAAAAAAAAAAAAAAAAAAAAAAAAAAAAAAAAAAAAACATCGAGAAGTTGACAATGACATTGCAGGTTTGGAATCAGGATAAACTGATAATCGTTAATGCCTACAGCCCCCAGCAAGCAACACATGGATAATGGAGGAACTAGATGACAAACAAGAGGGCCTCGTAATAGTCACAAGAGAAATTATAGTAAAAGCAGATAAAAGATAAATCACAATTGTTTGTACTTGGGGACTTCAACTTAAAAGCAATAAACTGAGAGGCCTACGAAGTAAGAATGGAGGAAATTTGGGTAGGCAGATTTGTAAACCTCATTCTGGAGACATTCATGTATCAACACATCAAGCAGGCCAAAAGAATGAGGGAAGGGGATACTCTGTCAATACTGGATCTAATATTGACCAGGGAAGAAGATATATTTGACATCAATTACCTTATCCATTACCTAGGAAAGGAAATTCCTCCCATGGGAAAGAGTCAGCATGTCCTGTTAAACATTAAATATGCTTTGAAAAATCTTTAATGTTTTTAATTATACATACTTGTTGCTAGACAAGAAAGTAAATGAGATATATGCCAAATTTTGCAAAATATACAATGAAGGCACACAAACATTCATACCAAAACAGAGATGAAGTACCAGAAAAAAAGGATTAGTTCAACAAAAATTGTGAGAGGACAGAGAGGAAAAGACAAGAAAATGGGTTCAATATCGAAAAATGCCTAACCTGCAAACATACCAGGACTACAAGCAAACAAGAAACAATTACACAACAGTGAGGAAAGAGGCAGAAAGGAACTTTGTGAAAGGTATAGTGGACAAATATAAAACAGATCCAGGTCTTTTCTACAAATTCATTAAAAGCAAGCTGCATTTTGTGTGTGTGTACAAAATAAGGATTTCAGAGAGCCTGACCCAATATCAATTCCAAAGCATGCCTTAGAATAAATACATAGATGTATCTCAAGACGAAGTAAAAAAAATTACTCAAGGGGCTAGGAAGAAATAAAGCTGTTGGACCTGACGGAGACCCTTGGGTGCTGTGAGAATGTGGAACTGAGCATTCCACTCCAATTAATATTCCAGACATCCATGTGCACAGAAATCTTAGCAGATAAGCAAAAAGCAATCATAGTACCAATCTATTCAAATAGTATTCGAGAGGAACCATTAAATTATAGACCCGTATCATTAACAAGCGTTATACATAATCAAAACACTAGAAACAATAGTTAAAGCCAAATCAGCCTGGATAGCTCCGAGAGCTGTAGGGGCTTCCCGGAGAAACCCCCATCGTTCAAAAATAGCCCAGGACAGATGTCAGGACAGCCAGAGCAGCATAACCATGAAAGGAAGGGGCGAGTCGACAGATCGCAGGCCGGGCAGACAGAATGACCCTGCAGAGCCTGCAAAAAAAAAAAAAAAAAAAAAAAAAGGGCACACAAGGGCACCAGGAGTCTGGGCTCAGCAAAAGAAGCCAGGCCACCAGAACCTTGTCCAAGCCCCAAAAGCTACACTCTGAAGATAAGTTCAGAAACAGTTGCAATGCCAGCAGAGAAGCATAAAAGAACCGAACAGCAAGGGCTCGAGGCAACATTGCAGGCAAGTAAGACAATGACAGTGAACAACCTACCAAGAGTCCACAAAGGCAGAACCAGGAGGTGCAAAGGAAACGGCAAAAAAGCCCACCAAAGACAAAACAAGACACTCCTGGTTGAACAATCAAAGGAACAATGATCAAAGGACCGCCCATTGGAAGCCAACAGACTCGGACTTGGCCAGAAAAGGGGCTGGCAGTAACAAACTAAACACCTGACAAAGCCGAATGAACACAGCCACAGACCAAAGAGGACAGCAAAAACCAAGCAGGTGGAGGAAAAGAAAAAATAGGCAAGGAGAGGGAATAGGCTCAGGTAGTGTAATAGTAGACTAGGGGCACATGAGACAGCTAGTGTCACTGAGGCTTGAACACAAGCCTCAGTAACTCCGCCAATGTCAAACGATGTGGCATTAGCATTGGCTAATTGCATTGGCTAATGCATTAGCGTTAGCATTACCTCTGCCAATGTCACACGATGATGTACATGTCAATGTGTCCATTGACACACACGCATCATCACACTGAAGAGTCACACTGCTGAAGGCTCCAGGAGAATTCAAATTATCTGAGTGTGAGGAGTAGGGTGAGGGTTGCAAGTGGTGTCCCAGAATACAGGAAGGTGTATGGAATTTGAAAATAAACTAAGAGATAAGAAATAAGTGTTAGTGAATGAAAAATCTTGGGTAGAAAAGTTGATCTTTCAAAACAGCAGAATGTCAACAAAGATGGTCGCCACCACAGGGGAGGACAGTACAAACTGTCCTTACAAACTTTGAGTTTTGTAAGTTAAAAGAAAGGATTTTCCAGCAAGATAAGGAAATTACCAGCTTGACTGATAAGGTAAGGATGCAGGAGGAACACATCAAGGAACTAGTAAAGGATAATCAAGCATGGAAAGTGAAGAGTAGAGTATTTGAAGAAGTTAACAAGAAAATACTCATATGGTGAACTCAAAGGGAGCCTGAGAGCCAACATGGAGTTAGGCAAGGAGATGCAACAAGAAACTTCATTAGCAACTCATATAGAGGAGGCTAATAAAGAACTAGAAAAGTATAAAAGAAGAAATAAAAGAGATGTATGCACAAGTTGTAAGAGAAAGAGACAATCAAGTCAGTGTGTTGGGAGTCAAAACCAGAAATGACCAACAAGAAGCAGAAATTACGCAAGCAATTAGGAAAGAACTGGTTACCAACAGCAAATTAGTACAAAACACTGCAGATAGAAGTGTGTCCAAAATAATTTTGGGGGGTTTAGAGAAGGAAATTTCATCTAGGGTGGACCGCGCAGCAGAAGAGATGAAAATCATAGAGAAAATAGTAAGTTTAGGAGAAGGCTCAAAAGGAAAATGTCAGTGATTTTAGAAGAATAGGAAAATATGAGAGACAAGAACCGCCCATTAAGGGTGACGTTTAATGGAGTGAAAAACATGATGGAAGTGCTTAGAAATGCCAGGAAACTGCAGAGTGATGAGGTTGGTAAACTTTGGTCAATAAGACAAGACCTTTCAAAGGAAGACAGAAAAGCTGAAAATGAACCTAATTGAAGGAAAACGTCTAAATGGGGATAGAGATGAAGAAGACAAATTCTTTTTTCTACAAAGTGTCAGGGACTGGAAACCTTGTGAAATGGTACATAAAAACAAGACAAAATCAGTAGTGGAAGGGGAAGTAAAGAACAAAGAGAAAGGGAACATGTTCCTGAAAATTGTATATACTAACATAAATGGAGTGAGGTCAAAAACTTTGGAGTTGCAAGATATAATTCAGCTTGGGGTCCCAGTTATTGTCGTGTTATCAGACGAAACTTGAAGGAAATACATTAAATAGTCATATTCCCAAGGGGCTATTCAGTTTGGAAACGTGACAGGAAAACTAGGAAAGGAGGGGGGGAATGGCTGTGCTGGTGAAAGAACACCTGAAGGTAAGAGTTAATATTTGAAAACCCTCGAGATACTGACAATGGCATTGCAGGTCTGGAATCGGGCTGATAAGCTGATAATTGTAAATGCCTACAGCCCACCAGCAAGCAATATGTGGACAAAGGAAAAACTGGATGACAAACAAGAGGGCCTCATAATGGTCATGAGAGATATTATTGTACAAGCTGATAGAGATAAATCATGACTGTTGATACTGGGGGACTTCAACTTTAAAGTAATAGACTGGGAGGCCTATGAAGCCAGAACAGAAGACTTTTGGACATGCAAATTTGTGAACCTCATTCTGGAGACATTCTTGTATCAACACAAAGCAAACCACAAGAATGAGGGAAGGAAATGTATCTTCAGTACTGGATCTAGTATTCACCAGGAAAGAAGAGATATTTAACATCCAGTACCTTCCTCCCTTGGGAAAGAGTGATCGCGTCCTGTTAGACATTAAATATGCTTTAAGATATCATCTAGAAGAAAATGGGGACATTGAAACAGTTGATAAACTCTAAGGAGAGGTCACTATGGGGAACTTCGAAAAAATTTTAATGAGTAATTG